TTTGAACTGTAGGGGCGGTTCTAGATTGAACCGCCCCTACAAATGGATATTTGTAGGGGCGGCTGGTACTACAGCCGCCCCTATAAATCGATTTGTAGGGGAGGCCTGGGAACCGCCCCTACAAATGCATGATTTGTAGAGACAGTTCGGTTGGGGCGGCTGGCCCAACCGCCCCTACAAAGGGTTACGAGCCGCCACTAAAAATCGATTATGTAGTAGTGTCAGTGAGGTATATGACAGCAAGAGGAGACGTCGCAGGAGCTTGGCAAGGCTTTTGCACGAGCCTTGTGCCGAGGGGTTTAATGGGCCGACCATGGAGACGGACCAGCAAGTTCTTCAGTGACGCGTTCAACAAGGACATCCTCGTCACTAGCCTAGACTAATCTGAGCAGAGCTTTCGCCCAGAACCTTTGTCAGTGCTCCCGTTGACCCACCCGCGATGGAGGGAGGCACGCACCGGCGAGCGTCCACACCTGGACGGAGGGGTGTGCTGGTCGTCGCCACACCGCACGGAGGCGTTGTCGGACTCACCCACGACGGTGGGAGGCACGTACCAGCAAGCGTTTGTGCCTTGACGAATGGGGGTGCCAACCACCGCCACACCTCACGGAGCTGTTCCTGGACTCGTCCGCGATGGTGGGAGGCACGCACAGCCAACTGTCAGCGCCTGGACAAAGGAGGAGGGTGCCGGTCGCCGCCACACTGCACGCAGTCGCTGTTGGACTCACCCGCGACGGTGGGAGGGGCGCGCACCGACAGTCATCCACGCCTGGACGGGGGAAGGTGCCGGCTGCCGCCACACCTCACAGAGCTGTATCCGGACTGACCCACGACGATGGGAGGCGCGCACCGGTAAGCATCCGCGCCTGGAGAGAGGAGCTTGTTGGTCGCCGCGACCTCGCGGAGCCATTCCCAGACTTGCCCACAACGGTTGTAGGTGCACACCGCTAAGCGTCCACCCTTGGATGGAGGGGGATTCCGGTCGCAGCTACACCGCACGGTGCCACTGTCGGCTTGCCCGCAACGGTGGGAGGCGCACACGAGCAGGCGTCTACACCTGAATGGAGGGGGGTGCCGGCCGCCACCGCACCTCGCGGAGTCGTTCCCGGACTTGCCCACAATAGGGGGAGGAGCGCAGCGGCAACAGTCCCAAGCCTGGAGTGCAGCCCCACTCTTGCGCCTTAGCGCCGACGATCTCCTGCTGGCCGCTGCAACCATACGTCGCCACGCCCGAATACCGCCGAAGCACGCAGCCCTCAAGCTGGACGCATCGCGCCCAAACCCACCACCCTGCGCGGATCCGCCCGTCACAACATGCAAACAGCCAGGAAGCATTGGATCGAGTCCGGAGGGGTTGGATCTGAACTCCACTAGCCCAGGATAGGAGCCGCATAACCAAATCACCGGATCGAAGCTTGAGAAACTAGTCGCCACAATCACCAGTCGCCAGCCGAGCCGCCAGCCGCTGCCGCGCGCCGTCCACGCCGCTGCGCCGTGAGGCCGCTCGCCACACAAGGACGGCAGATCTGGGCTGCCTCGTCTTGGCTGCTGTCCACGTGTTCAGAACCGGATCTAGTCCTGAGGCCACTCCAGCTCTCCCTACGCTTGAGCACAGCAGCGTGACACAGACGCCAGGGGCACGTGCAGATTCCATGCACCGCTCCAAAGATCGTGTTCCATGCATGCATACATACATACATATAAGGTTAGGACAACGGACAAGGCAAAATAGAATCACAGCCATGGTATGGTGTTTCGGCTTCGACGTCGAGTAAGAATGAGTTGCCTGATTTCATGGTCATCGATCAGGATCTGCTCTGCTTTTTTTCTCCCCTGTTGTAGCTCCCCCTTCCTCTGCTGACTGAATAGGGTAGCCTTGCATATATTGGTGCAGTGCAAGCGACAAAGCAGAGGATATGGTGTGACCACCGTGTTCGTGAGATTATGCGGTTTTCCTCTGCTTTTCCAATCAAGGTTCTACTACAAAAGATAATTACAGCCACGGTGAATGGAAAATCATACGTCAAGAGATTTGTATGGTAGTGTCGTGGCCCGACATCATGGATCTGGGATCAGCGTACAATGTTGGTGCTGCATGTCTGCTTGCTGTTTGTTACTGTGCCACAAGAGATTTCATCACCACACACTCGGTTCATTGACACTGTTGTCGCTGTTCCCGCCTGGCCTACTTCAATGACTCCCAGAGGCAGGCCACCAAGGATGCTGGGGTAATCGCTGGTCCAAATGTTATGCGCATCTATGAGCCGACTGCTGCTGATGTTGCTTATGGCCTTTGACAAAAGAATGTTTTTATATTGGACCTTGCATTGGAGGCAAAACTGTTGATATCTCTCCTATCGGGAAAAAATGGAGTAACTATGGGCACCCGCGATGAGTTTGGTACACGTGTCCATCTAAAAGAAACTATTGCTTAAATTTAGGAGGAATAATGGGGGGAAACTACATATCTCTTATACAATGGATGCATGTGCATGGACACGTGCCACAAATCCGTGCTGGGTGCCCAAGGTTACTTCGTGGGGACCGACCCCACCCAAATTTTTTTTGTTCTCATCGAGGAGCGTACCTTTGAGGTCTAGGCCACAGCTGGTGCCACTCACCTTGCTGGTAAGGATTTTCACGACCGCGGATGTAGAGGCCGAGCTGGAGTAAATTTAAGGTGGGGTGTGCTTACCTTGTGGGTGCATAGTTTTTTACCATATGGATATGATGTGTATAATGTACTTGTTCTCAGTCAATAGTCTACATTAATTAACAAGGGAGGGATGGGAACATACAGATTCTATAGTAAAACCTGTAAATAAGTTGAAAGCATGCACACAACACTAGTACGTACTGTACGTGTGCAAGTCCTAACATCTCCATTAGTTGTACAACTCATAGAAACGAAATATATACGTGCGCAGGCAAGGATACAACTAGTGCTGCAGTCTCACCTCTCTAGCTCGGTATTTCAACACTCTGCTAATTCACCATATAATATCATATAGTAATATTATACCTGACAGTCCCTCTGTGGCCGGGGAAAACAAAAAGTTTTGCTCCCTCCTTGAGATCTGCAATTGAAAAATTGGCGTCGTCCAGCCCAAAGGCCAGCTGATATTTGTCGAGGCCGGCACCCTTTCCTTTCCAGCACACACCTCGGCCACGCCGGCTTCTAGGCTTCTCATGATTTGGCACTAGGTGGTCGAACGTGTCTTGGCAACTGTCCTCTGTGTGACAGTGTAGAAAACTGAAATTAAATCTGCCAGGTAGAGATGATGATCCCTGGCCCCGCGCGCTCCAATGGCAGAAAGGAATGTACAGGATCCCATCCCTGCATACATAAAGTTGGTTGCATAAAAAATACATACTAAGACGAGCAATGTGTTGCGAGAGAAAATTATTAACTACCTGGCCCTGGCTAAATATGCACTTGCTTTATTTCGGATCAGGCGCTGCAAAAACCAAGCGACATCAAAGTTTTCATCTCCAGGAATGCAATCGACTCACTTGATATGGCCGATCTTGTCGTTCTCAGATGAGCTGCCTCCTACCAAGAACAATAATCTCCATGCTGTCTAGTGACGGGACTCCTTTTAGCACCTGCTCATTTGGGCAACCGATGATCCTGATTTTCTGTAACCTAGAGAGGTTGCTGATCCTTTTGAGCATGGGACAATCGATTGCATATGTTGAGTGCGGGGACACCTTGAAGCACCTGCAGATTTAGACAGCGGAGGATACTAATCTTCTTCGATCTGCTGAGGCCAGTGGTCCTCTTGGGCTTGGGGCATAGGGACATGTCAAGCTCGACAACTGAAGGGAAGTTCTGCACATATATATCAGGTTGGTATAACCTCCTCGTACAGGTTGAGAGCCCAAGAGGTGTTCTGGTGCAAGGCCCGAAAACCAACCGACGACAGGGTGGCTGTGCTCTGCTCTGGCTTGTTTCTGCTCTGTTATACTTCATCCTTACTCTGTTGACTGAACTGCATGCTGTCCCGTGCTTCCAAAGAATTATGAATGAACCATTATATTCCTCAGTCACAGCTCAAAGTGAAGGCTCGTCTGTCTCCCTCAGAAAGCAGAGGGCCTTCATATATTGGTGCAGTGCAGGCGACAGAAGCAGAGGACACATATGGTGTTGCCACGAGATTAGAGGAGAGGAAAACTCCATAATCGCCATTACATTGAGGAGGCTCAGTAAGATTGACCAACAATAATGATTGGGATGCCTGATTTCATTATCATCAATCAGTTCAGAATACAATGTTCTTACTGCATGTCTGCTTTCATCACCACACATTCGGTCCATTACAAGATCCACGACTTCAGGCCCATTACTTGTGCAAATATATATAGGTCTATTACTTCAAAAAATATATATGGAGTGTACAAATATACATGGTCAAGACTACAAGAGTGCAGGAGACGGTATCCGTAACCATGATTTGGCAGTATGTCGAGAGTATGTGTACTGCATGCTGGAGACGAGCTTCTACCAAGCAGATCTCAGTCCCACTTGCCAGTGCAAGCTAACATCATGTGTCTGCCATAAGGATCCTGGATGCCTGCATACATTAGTTACACTGTCAGTGCATAATGACACTTGAAAATACGTAATAATTTGAGAGAAAAAATATAATTACAAATATAAGAGATGATAATACACATACTTTGGCCAGACTTGAACAGGGAAAAGGTGAACACAAGCACTGTGTTTTTCTTTTGTTCCAAGACAATTGATTGTTAACAATTGTAGATGTCCTATCGTCGGACGGGCAGGCTGTAGCAACACTTTGTTTAATCACCATATATTTTGATGCCCTGTTGTTCTATGTATGGTCCAATGAAAGCTTTTCCTGCAACGAATCAGAGTACAAGCAATAATTAATAAATATGAAAACTCACTTCCGGCCTAGTGAAAGAATGAAATTTACCTGAACACACGAGCCATCTCCAATGCAGCTATGCAGTTACCAGTCTTGGTCTGCATCTCAATCTTCGAGGCAGGCAATCTTGTGCTTTCCAATGTGGCTGATCTTGTCCCATTCGGAGCTACCTGGAGATGAGGAGGATTCGTATAGCTTCTTGTTGCAAACCAACTCGAGATACCTTGGGTTTACAGCTCGCATGTATTCTGGAAGCGTGTCCATGGTGGTGTTGTGCAGTCCAAGGCTGTCGAGTGCTGCGACACCTTCTAGAACCTCCAGCTTTGTGCAGCGAACAATCCTAATCTTCTGCAACATGGGGAGTCCGCTGATCCTCTTCAGCTCAGGGCAGTCAAACACGTCAAGTTCCACAACTGAAGGGATGTTCTCCACATGTGTCAGGTTGGTGAGCTTGTACAGGTTTAGTTCTCTCAGAGCATGCCTCTTGCTGCTGGCGAGGCCTGGTGGAAGACAGCTCAGCTTGCAGTTTTTGATTTGGACTGTCCCCAGACAAGGCATGGCTATGGCAGTTTCCACATCCATATGCTCCTCACAGTCGTTCCATTCCCACTCTTCCCACTCACATAGCCCAACCAATTGCAGATTTCTCAGTTTTGGAAACGGTGCAGATGTACTAGCATCGGAACCTCTAGCTGCCAAGGAGGATGACGCTTGGAACTGGGGGCCAATATGCTTGATGGCTGGCGCGTCTATGATGGTCAGCAATTCCAAACTTGGGAGGCAGCATAGACCATCAGGGAGCTGGGTGCAGCAAGGCAGGTTCTCCAGCCACAAATACCTTAGGCTCTTAAGGTCCGCCGACGCTGGAGCACACATCCAGTATGGTAGCTGGCGACCAACGTATCCCCCTTTCAAAATAAAACTCTCCAGGCAGGTTGGAGGGCAGAGCTTTTCCAAGACTTCCTTGGTCACGCTCTGTTGCTGTTGTTGCTCTGCCTCACCACCGCCTGTCCCTATAGTATGTCCACTTGCACTGTAGTTCAGTTCTAGATACCCAAGGTGGCACTTGCTGCTAATCATGGCCTTTTCAACCATCCAGCTGTCATGCACCTTCTCTAGGCCATATAGTGTAAGCTTTCTAAGCAGAGAGAGAGGCTCCAGCTCTTGCAAACTGCACCAGCTATTGCTTGCATCCATGTCCACATGTACTGGGAAGCCATAAAGTGACCTCAGATTTGTTAACTCACCAAACCCCTTAGGAATGACACTAACATTTGATCCATCGATGTCAAGAGATCTTAGATGCACAAGTTTTATGATGCTGCCAGGAAGATAGCATAGCTTCTTACAGTTACCAAGTGAAATGTACAGTAGAAATTTCATCTTCTGGATATCATCTGGTAGCCAAGATATATCAGTTTCCTTCAAGTGAAGGTATCTTAAGTGCTTCAACATAGATAGAGAGGGAACCAATCTATTAGAATCAGCAGACCATATGTACAGTACCCGCAGGCTAGAGAAACTACTCAGCGAGTCACCAGGAAGATGAAAGCTTACTCTAGAATTTATAATTAATGTCCTAAGTGACTCTCGCCTTTGCAAAATGCCCCAATCCAGTACTGATACGGTCTGTTCTATGGAGAGGCGACGGACATGCATACCAGTAGCAGCCTGTTCTCTACCAACCACCACCACTAGTGATTCTTCTCTTGCCATGTATTCAGCAAAGGTGCGGACCACATCGTGCATGGTGCACCGGTTTCCAGTGAGACCATATCCTTTTGTAGGTTGTATAAGATTCCTCTTTATTAACTCTCGGTAGTACTCAATTGCCATCTCTTCGAACCCATACTCATGTGAAATAATACTACTACCATCCAAAGGTTGGATAAATCCTTCACTAATCCACATTCGAGTTACTACATCTCCAATGATTTCTTTACCTTTAGGAAATAGTGAGCAGTACAGAAAGCATTGCTTTATCTGGGGTGACAAATCCTCGTAGCTCAAGTATAGTCGGTTGTCCAGTTCTGGAGGCAGTCCGGTCAGTGACCAAGCTGGCTTGTTCAAAACAGATTTCCACTCATGCTCACTTGGGTATCTTGTGCTCAAGAGACCTCCAATCACTTTAATTGCAAGTGGTAAGCCATCACAGTTTTCAAGAATTTCCATCCCAATAGTTTTCAGTTGATCAATTCCATCTACCTGCCAACATTTAATTTAAAGCTTCTTAATTATTTCTAACAACTATCAGGTTGCTTATGTACTTCTCTAAGCAAATAAGCTTCTTCTGTAAAACAATGAAGCGTAGGTTGGCCAACATATTGGAAGTGTACCGTCCTTTATTCGAAAATAAGCACAAGACTATGCTTGGAAAGGGCCGATTTGAAATGGAATCCGCAAAATCCCATAAGACTAATATATGGAATCCGTGCATTGCAATTGGGCTTTAAATGTTCTCATTTGGGAAACAGGACTATACTACAGAAAGTTTTGTAGTGGCTTTCCTTGCAAAAAAAAGTTTTCTTGTGGCTACAGGAATCGGACTTTAAATGGTCTCTTTGCGTTTTAAATTTGTTGTGTGGCAGCTACATGGTATTATTAGCTATAGAACGACTAGGATAGTCGAAAGTCGAAATCTGGGCATTATCTACTAGGACGCACTTGATGCATTAAAATATTCATTTATATGCAAACTTAGGGTCTTCGTTTTGGTTTATTAGAAATGGTAGACTGAGTAATTTAGTTGTAAATTTTGGACTACTTTACATTATGGTTTGTAATGGCATAGGTGGATAATTTAGACAAACATTATATTTATAGGTTACTTATTGATGAAATCCAAACATAGAGATATATTAAGCCTCGGGATCAAGGGTTCCCGACCGAGAGATCCCACGACCAACCCCTCCCGGATAGCTCGGGGGCTACACCCATCGGGTGCGCTCGCGTGCACCCTCTGGCTAAGGCATTGGGCCGAGCCCGAACATGCCCGGCGCCTCTGCTTGGGACTCCGGGGCTCGCCCGAGCCCCAGGCTCCCGATCGAAGGGAGCATGGACCCGATCCTTAGCTCCTTCCCAGCCTTCGGTTCTAGCGAAGGCCTAGGCTCGAGGCAAACCCCTAGAGCCACCAAGGCTTGGGGGCTCCCCGACACTGCCCCGCGGACGTGGCACTATCAACCGCTCCTCCGAAAGGGTCACGCACTAGGCGTGATGCAAGAAGCCAAACTCCTCCGCTAGCCTCGGGGGCTCCAGGGCTTCCGGGCTCGCGCGTTAGCCCCCAAGCTGGCTGTCTTTGCCACCAAGAAGCCTCCAGAAGGCGCACCTGGTGAAGACCGGTCCAAACCGACATAGCCTGACATTCAGCGTGTCATAACAGAGTAACCGGACGATGCCCAAGGCTTCTTCAGCTCCATGACATCGCCACGGTCCACTTGATGCCATGGCAACACCCTCCTGGACTCTGGCGCATGTAGACCATTGGCTAAACTCTCACAAACCGTCATGTACCCGACCTACCTTGATATGTAAGGGGAGGTTGGATCCTAAGACGAGAGAGGACGATTCTAGTCGACGATTCCAGAACACAATTCCAGACGAGCCAGAGACGGATCATTGGACTCCTCAGCAAACCAGTTCATGCTCTGCACCAAGAGCAAATCCACCCAGAGAGGGGCACCGAGAGCTCCTTCCCCTTCCTCCGATCATCTTCCTCCTCTTCAGCGAGGGGGAAGGCTCCACCAGCGGCGAGGCTTCCCTAGGATCAGCACCGAGAGATCCCCTACAAATCTCTCTCTCTTACACTCTGTTGTAACCCCCAGATTTTGGGTGCTCTTGAGTATAAGGATCATCAGCTACTGGATGTAGGGACCTGAGAGCCCGAACCAGGATAAAGCATTGCGTCCCCTCTATTGATTCTCGTGTTCTTGAGTCCACCCAAGACACTGGAGACATGTACTCTGACAATAATACGAACAGCAATGCTTGCTGCGGTTCTGATCCTGTGACAGCTGGCCCTCTAGGTAGGGGAGCACGTCAAGTGTGATTACTGCTCTATAGTGGCCGGAGCCACCCGCCTTGTCTATGGATCAAGCGGCGCCGCCCCAGACGGTGGCGTCCGCTTCCCCGGAGAGTTCTCCATCACGGCCAGCACCTTCGCTCCGGGCCAGGTCCTCAACTTTGGGAGCCTGGCCTACGTCGCTGACCGCTATAGCGAGCTCCGCCCACTCAAGGAGGCTCCACCCGCTCAAGTGTAATTTGACCATGGTTCTTCTATATGACAAGGACACTTAGATTGGCCAACATATTAAAAGTGTGCCATATTGTAAAGATTTGCGGTAGGGCACTCTTCAATGGTGGTCTTTGCTAAGGGACACTGCTCACTGTTGTCTTGGCTACAAAGTACTTTTCAATGCTGGTAATTGGTTCTTAGACAATGTAGCTATTAAAATAATATTTCTAAGGACTGCTTTGGAGAGAGAAGTTAAAAGTGACCAAAATGCACCTGACTATCATTTTTCGGCAACGCAAAGGTGTATGTTTTATTGTTTTTTTGTGGTAACTCTGTGCTCCAATACTTGGTTGTGGAGAAGCACCCAAAGGTGTATGTTTTATTGTTTTTTTGTGCTTTTTTGAGAGCTAGTTGTGGGTTTGAGCACCCAGGGTGCTTTTTTCTTGCTTTTTAATAAGAAATGAGGAAAAATATATTATGATATGTAAAATTCAGTCAACCATGTGGTATTGGTACCCATCATGATGAGGACAAAATTTTAAAAATATATATTAATTGCTCCTGGTGTGTAAAGGGCATCAACGGTGGCATCAGTTAGTCAGGGTGACGTGTGTTTGGTGGGGCAGTGTGTTGGTGTCATGCCTACTTGGTGGGCGGCTCGGTTGTGGCCTTATCCTTTTTTTTCTTTAGACCATGCGTAGGACTATACAAGGGCCATGAATAAAAGTGTGGCAATACAACAATTATTTGCAATGAAATATATTCCAATATACCAACCGTGGCAATACGTACTTGGTGAGATGCACAGTGCCGTGCAGTGGCCCTTGGCGGCGTGGGGGAGGGTGGGGGGAAGGGCGTGATGCGTGCGCCGTGGGGGGAGGGCGTGACGAAGGCAATGGCGTGGCCACATGAGGGAGGGCGCAACGAAGCCCTCATCTGTTTGTGTGACGAGGCGCGCGGCTCAGCGAGCAATAGGTATGCCCTGCGTTGACCTTTTCCTGGACCAAGGCACTTGTGGTCCAATAATGACAATGTACCGCATCAAAACAATCCTGAACTGATGCAATAAAAATCATATATTGCATCACAGTTTAGCACTATCAATCTGTTGCAACAGTACCACCTACATATTGCATAAAAAATCAATACTAACGCAGCAAAATTTTTCCGATGTAATAATTTCTACCTATTGCATCTAGTGTACAAAATCGGTGCGATAGATCATACCTATTGCATCGAGATGAAGTACTATCGCATCCAACTCCCTGTCAATGCAATAATGACCACCTATTGCATCAGATTTGCAAAATTGATGCAACAGCAGCCACCTATTGCATCAGATTTGCATTTGATGCAAGGCAAAGCGATGCGATAGGGTCAAAAATTAGTAGTGGCTGAGGAGCCCCCGAGCATCGGTAGCTCGGGGCTTGTCTTCTTGTGCCCGGGCCTTGGCTGGCATCGTGAGCTGGGCAGGAGCCAAGGACCGGGCTTGGCCGTGCCGTAGATCGATAGCCCACGGCTCGGGGAAGCCCCCGAGCCCTAGGCAGAGGCTGCGGTTGAGTGAGGCTCAGTTGGTTCTCTTCGCCAGTGGGTGCGCGCGAGCGTGCCCGATGGGCATAGCCCACAAGCCCCCGGGCGATCCTGAAGGGGTCGGTCGGGGGTCTTCTTTGTTCGGGAACCATTGGACCCGAGGCTTAACATACATGTCTGTTAGGATCTCGTCAGGCGGATCTATAGGTGATTCGCTGCCCCTCCTCCGGCGGCGCTTGGGACGTGGCCCTCTTCCGGCAGCGGTGACAGATCCGCGCGGGGTGCGCGACCCCTCCTCTTGGGGCACGTGTGGGTCGAGGCCCTCCTCCAGTGGCGTGGCGGTGCGGCCACCACTGCTAGCGGCGGTGGGGCACGACCACCACCTCCAGTAGCCGTGGGGCATGGCTACCACCTCAAGCAGCGGTGGTGGATCCACGCAGGGCGAGGCCCTCCTCCAGTGGCGGAGCGCGACCACCAGCTCCCGCTGCAGTGACAGATCCGAGCAGAGCGCGTGGCCCCTTCTCTTGCATGGTACGAACGTGACGATGGTGGGCTCAGAATGCGGTGGCACGGACACAGAAGCGGCGGGCTGTACATGGGTTTGACGTTGGGCTTGGGATATTTTATTTGTTTTATTTTAAATCAATTAACAGATGCGGGCACCGAGCACCGCCTCTGTTAATCGTGATTAACACAGACATTGGTTTGGTGGCGGATAGCTTGCCTGCCTCCCAAAATCGTTTAGACCGCCTGTAGTAATGCTTACTATGCTAGTGAAGGGCGGGTGATGCAACTGCCTCTCATTGGGCGCTAGTGGAACTATTGATTTACTTCTTTCTCCAACACGTCTTATGAGCATCATTGTGGAGGCATTAAATAAAGTATCTAATTATGTACTCCATACATTCCAAAAGTGGACTGCTTTATTAAGTCAAACTATCTTAGGTTTTACTAAATTATAGAGTAAATTATTAACATCTATGAATTGAAATATATATATATATATATATATATATCGTAAATTCATTTCTCCATAAGTTAAATCTAATGATACTAAAGTTGATATGATAAATATTGTTACTTTTTGTTGATATACTAAAAATAAGGTCAAATTGGAGATTGGTAAACTTCGCATTGAAATGGATGTGCACTGAGTTTCTCGATGGAGAGAGTAATTAATAGCTAACCTGACCCTATAGTGTCATTTTGTTATTAAATTTGATTATTATGTTTGCTAGATCATAGTTTTCCTGGTGTCTTTTTGCTACTCTCCAAAGCTGCTGTTCTGAGCAAGAATGCTTAGATTGTACTACGAGACTTCATAGGCTTTCTATGAGTAAAGCAGGTGTCCTAGTGTATAGAGTATGGATAGACTAGCCTTTTTTTTTGGATAAGACGGTTAGACTAACCTGATCAGGCTGCAGCTGTTTCTTGAGCAAGGACCAGGCATCATCATTGCCTAGAGGCCTGACACGGTGTTGGTGCAGCGCGGCTCGCATCTGCTGTGGTAGGTGTACAAATCTTGTGGTGACTAGGATCTGACTTCCTGGTTGTTTCTTGCTGGCAATTCTAACTGCGACACTAAGCACGTCGTTCCATGCTCTCTGGCTCCACACATCATCCATCACCATGAGAAACCTGCCGTTATTAGATAGGGTGTTGATGAGGGTGTCTGTGAGAGTGCGCTTGTCTTGCTCCCCACCATGGTTTCCCCCAGCATGCTGGATTGCTGTCCTTAGTAGCTCAGCCTCATGGAACTGCTTGTTGATGTTTAACCATATCTTCGTTTTGAAGTGCACTTGGATGGTTGCCTCATTGAAAATCTTCTGGGCGAGGGTGGTCTTTCCCATACCACCCATGCCAATAATAGAGACAACTTTGATGTCATGATTCTTGTCATCTCTGGTTAGAACCTGGACGAGCTCCTTTGTGTCCCTCTCTATTTGTTCCCCAACTATGGAAGACTCGTCGAAGTGTGAACTTGTCTTGTAGATGGATAACTCAGCAGCAGTTAGCCTCCGCGGCTCTGGATTGGAACCGATGCTGATATTGAACTTGTAGTTGTCCGCTTCCTTGTAGATGCCTTCTAGCTGCTGGTTGAGCTTCTTGATGCGGCAGCCTATCTTGTGTGCAAACAAGGGATTTCGCAAGCAGAAGAGCAATGGCTGCAAGCAACCCGAAGCCTTCTCCTCCATGCTGCCACATTTAGATTCCTTGTGCTTGTCAGCTTGAAGTTGACAAAGGTCAAGAATGTCAGTGGCATCGTACATGGCGTCCTTGAGCTTCCTCACCCATCGCTGCACGATCTGTTCAGTGATGCGCCTCCTCTCAGCATCGGCAAGGAAGCAGTTGATGGTCTCCATGTTATCTTTGAGCTTGTCAATCTCGCCCGACACACCCAGCAATATGGCCACCTCTTCTGTGGCCATGTCTGCTATCAGCTTCCTCACGTAGGGTGCCATAGCATCTAGGATGGCCGCCATGGCTCCAGAGGACGTCCTACATAAACAAGTAATCCGTGACACATTACTCTCATCGGAATAGCCGAGTCTTGTAATGGACAGCCAAAGTAATTAAGGGCCAGCGTGCACGCACCAAATTAAATGACCTTAAGGTAGCTAACTCATATTCAAGCCGGATGCAAGGCTTATTTAAGGAGAACATGTAATTAATGATTAACATGTGACTCAGATCTAAATTAATGTTAACCAATTTGTGATCTGCAAGGTCTCATCCATGGCAAGGCAGATTGGGTAGCTAGTGAATGAAAACAAACATAGACTTCCAAGCACTTCAAACAGTAAAGAGGAAACAATGCTAGCAAGAGACATTGGAAAATAAAATGAAATTAAAAGAAGTTGATTTCTGTAGCAACGGGAGAGGATGGAGTCACCTCAATTTGCAGTCGCGCGGGGCTTGAGCTGCTACCTGCTCGGCTGGTTTGCCTCTTGAGGATGTGATTGTCGGTGACACAGGCAAGGTGACAAGTACGTATGGTCTGGCCCCTTATGTATAGCTAGCATTAGCAATGGGGAAAAATAAAGGAGACAAGGATCGAGTGACCAAGTAAACTTGGCATGGAAGCAGATATTCCTTGCTTCTGGAATGAGCAGTCCATTTCCTACTACGTACTCCATGGCTTTTGGAATTCATTGTGTATTGAATCCATGCCCGGCTGGAGGATCGAATTCCGGATTGAATAATAGTAGGAAGGAATTAGGCGTCATACTCATACACGGCAAGTTATGCTTTGCAAGGCAAGATGGCAGCTTCTTGGCTGCATACATATATATGCACACATACACATGGCAGATACTGGTTGCATACATATGCATACATACATAGATCAATCGCTTGCTACTTACTTGTGATTGGGATGGGATTGGAATGGAACGTTACTTTGGGTTGGTCCTTGTGCACAAGGAATATAATGCTTTTCTTTCCCTGGAGTGGAAAAGAAAAAGTGAAGAAGAAACGCTTTGCTTGATGGAGCCAAGAGGTTGAGATTCGTTCGCTTCTGTTGGATGTATATAAAAACTGACAAAAGGGTTGTGTGCGCCAAAACGCTTTGGATTCATTAGTATAAACTGATGGGCAAAGCAATTCTTGACCTCGAATGCTGACGCAAAGCAATCTCTTCTCCGTCTCGATCTTCTTCAGTGCTCCTGTGTCTAGCTAGCTGGTGCCACCGTACACTGCTGTTTCTTGGACGAGGAGGATGCACCCTCGCTCTGGTGGAAGCAGCATTACTGGCCTAGGAATTTTAACAAAGATACCCCCCCCCCTGATTTCAAGTGATGGAATAATTCCGTCTAGTGTTTAGTTGGGAGAAGAAGATTAATCGTGCTTAAGTTATGTTTGGTCTGGGGATAAAGAAAGTGGAACGAGTCATTGACAAATGGAACCCAGCCTTTTTTTTTTTTTCTTGTTTCTTCCTTTTTCTTGCTCCTTTTCTTTTCTTGTTTTTCTTTTTTCTATTGGTCCTTATCAGGATTAACATGGAGGCTACGTTGGGGACCTTTGTTTATAGTTTCTAGTATTTATTTTTCGTCCTAGGATATGTATTTAGCAGAAGCCTAAGCTTAAGATATATAAACTGTCTTATTTGCTTTCATTTTTATGACTTCAGGAACGAATCTATAGTTTATCTCACAACTTTTAATATAGTTTTTTTGCAACTTTTATTCAAAATTTAATAGAGCTCTATCAACTTTTGGATGACAGACACTTGAAATAAATAAAGATTTACCATGGCATGGATGCATATAATATAACTGTTGTCAATCGATAGTCTACATTAGAGTGTTCTATCGTAACCTGTCAATAAGTTGAAAGCATGCACACAAGACTAGTAGAACTCATAGAATACATATCAAACTCAGCTAATTCACCTTACAACTAGTGCTGCAACCTCACCTCTTCTGCTGGTTATATCAACACTCTGCTAATTCACCCACCATATAATATGCTAATATTATCTGGCACCCTTTCCTTTCCAGCACGCACCTCAACCACGCACCGGCTTCTTGGCTTCTCATGATTTGGCACTAGGTGGTCGGTCGTGTCTTTGCCAAGTGTTGACTGTGTACAAAACTGACACTACTACAGATTTACTTTTCACTGCCGCCACTTTCACTGCCGTAGCGATAAAAGCGTCGGTGTGAAACTTTCCCCGTCGGTTGGACCGATAGGGAGGCCTTGTAAGCAATGAAACCGGTAGTTGAAAATTAAACCATCAATGTGGCGGTGGTAGTGGGGTTGAATTCCACCGTCGTTTGGAACGCCAAGCCGACTGGGATACGCGTTATGGCCGCTGGCCCTAGACGACCATTTGGTGTACTGGCGGTAGTAAATTCAGCGTGAGTTATTTCCCCATTTCCCAACTACCCACAACACTGTTGCATCACCATTACTTTCCTACGGAGTATGCCTCGCCTTCCCTGATGCTTATATTAATTGCTCCTCTCTGCTACTCCATCTTCAAGGTTGGCCTATTTAAGCTGGGGCCTGGATGCCCTTCTTGGCAATCAACACACTCCTTCCTCCTTAGATACAGATAGATACAGACAAAGCTCTTGAGCCAACTGACGAGATCCTAACATATGGGTATGTTAAGCCTTGGGTCCAATGGTTCCCGAACGATGAAGACCCCCCAACCGACCCCTCCAGGATCGCCCGGGGGCTATACCCATCAGGTACGCTCGCACGCACCCTCTAGAGAAGAAGCCCGGCCGAGACTGGCTCCAGCACGACTTTCGCTTGGGGCTTGGGGGCTTGCCCGAGCCCCGAGGCTCCCGATCTACAACAACACTTCGGCCCGGCCATTGGCTCCTGCCCCGCCAACGATGCCAACCAAGGCCCGGGCGCAAGAAGACATGCCCCGAGCTACTGAGGCTCGGGGGCTCCATGGAGCTGCCCCTTGGGCATGGCATTGCCAGCCACTTTTCCGACAAGGTCACGCACGGGGCGTGACACAAGAAGACAAAGCTTCCAAGCGGCCTCTAGGGGCTTGGAGGCCCCCGAGCCCGCACGTTAGCCCCTTAAGCCGACCTCCTTCACCACCAAGAAGACTCCAGAAGGTCCACTTGGGGGAGGCCGTTCCAAGTCGACACAACTTGACACGCAGAGTGTCAAAACAGAGCAGCCGGATGGTGCCCAAGGCTTCTTCGGCCCCATGACACCGCCACGGTCCATAGCGCGTCGCTGCAAGGCCCTCCTGGACTCCGGTGCATGTAGATGGTAGACTAGTTCCCCCAAACCGCCATATACCTGACCTATCTCGTTATATGAGGGATAAGGTTGGACCTAGGGGGAAGGAGAGGACAGATCATTCGACTCCATTCCATTGCTTCGCCTTCGCTCAGCATAGAGAGCATGGCAACCCACTGAGGGGCACCGAGAGCTCCTCCACCGCATCCCGTCGTCTTCCTCCTCTCCGACGAGGGGAAGGCACCACTGGCAGCGAGGCAACCTTAGGATTAGCACCGAGCTAACCCCCTACCAAATCTCTCTACAACCCTGTTGTCACCCCCCGATTTTGGGTGCTTTTGAGTATAAGGATCATCAACTGCTAGACGTAGGGTACCGATTAGCCCAAACCAGGATAAATCGTTGCGTCCTCTCTGTGATTCTTGTGTTCTTGAGTCCACCCAAGCCATCAGAGACCCATACTTTGACACCAACTCGAACAACAATGCTTGCCGCGGTTTCGACCCCACGACAGCTGGCGCGGCAGGTAGGGGCTAGCATCAAGTGTGATTCTGACTTTACGATGGCTGGAGCCACCCGCCTCGTCGCCAGAGCAAGCGGCACCGCCCTAGACGGTGGTGTCCGCTTCCCTGGCGAGTTCTCCATCATGGCTGATGCCTTCTACATGCTGGCCAATGTCCACCACCAGATCGCCACCGGTGAGTGCTCCCACCACCTGACCGCTTCTGGTACTACCTCCTAGACCTGCCTTTTGGGATCCAGAACGCGGCGGCGTCCTTCTAAATGGAGCTGGAGCACCTCATGAGTTGCGAGGCACCATGGAGCGTCGTCCTCTCTCGCGTGGTGGGGACTGACGTCGCATCGCTATGCACCTTCCTCGAGATCCTTTTGGGGAGCGACTAGGAGTACAACTCCGACGATGTCGACTACAACACCCCTCCACGCATGTGCTACCACATCGACAGTGAGGTTCTTGCCGAGGAGGCGCCTGGGCTCACACTGTCGGACTAGAGTCCCCGCAGCCACGCGACCTACCTTTAAGACAAGGAGGATCGCCTGCAGGCTCGGCAGGTGGACCTAGAGGCCGCCGAGGCAGAGCTCGAGCGCCAAAGGTGTTGGTGGCCCTTAACTCATGTTTTCACACGCCAACTTTACACAAATTCCATACAGACAAACATCAAAACTTAGTAAATAGGGTTTTACACTAACGTATTCCATCAGTTTTGGTGAGTTGGTCATTTTTCGGACATATGCATGGAATAGGAAAACATATCAAAAGGACCAACTTAGAAAACATAAAATAGAACTGCGCAATGGAATAAAAGGAGAAAGCCTACCTACGCAACAAACCTGGGCTAGGCACCGACATGGGAGCCATCCATGTCCAACTAGGAGCCTGCTAGAGCAGGGCGGTGCCAAACGGGCCAGCCCAGGGTGTGGCCGCACCACCCCCAAGCCCACTCGGCCCCTGAATGGCGGCATGCTCAGGATGGTTTGGGTGGTTTCCTATTTTATCTCCGGCTAAACTGACCTCAAACATGTATAAAAGCATGGGTAGAGCCCTCCTCATTCCAACAACACCTCAGGGAAGAGCAACACCACAAGAGCTACACTCCAAGGGCCATAGCTAGTAGACTTGGCTCGGGAGATATGTGAGGGAGAGTATGGGGAAGAGCCGGACTTGTCGGTGTCTCCCCGAGCTTGTACCTCGATGAACACTTGTGCCTCAAAGGAGCATTTCGCTAAAGTGAGTGTTCGTGGTTCTTGTGGCATT